TTGCCGCAGGTGACTGTCCCGGAGCTGGTGCGGAGCGGTGGGTGTTGGCAGCACGGGGCTGGGGGGGTTTCCAAGCCTTTAGAATCAGAGAATCAACCTGGTTGGAAGAGACCTCAAAGATCATGGAATCCAACCCTTCCGTCGTTACTAGACCATGGCGCTAAGTGCCACATCCAATTTCGTTTCGAAAATCTCCCGGGATGGTGAATCCTTTCCCCGATCCTGCACAGCTTTTGGGCACGGTCACCAACCTCCCAGCGAACCTTCCTTCCCCTCTCGGTGTGTCTCAGCTCTTCTGTCAGCTGTGCAGCCTCCTGCCTGCCCCAGGCGCCCTCGTGGATAACCCCACGGCGTCCCTAGGGAAACTTCGTGCCCCTTGGGGAGGAAAAACGCTGCCAGGTGTGTCTGTGAGGAGACTGAGGCTAACGTGGTTGTTTCTCTGCCTGGTGTTCCACAGGAATCCCCTTTGATGGTGGGCTGCGCTGCCTCTGCTGGAAGGTGTGTTTGGCTCGGGGTGCTCTCGGTTCTTGGCAGTGATGCTTTGGGTTGGTTAAGTGCATGGAGTGTTTTTGGGGGAACTTGAAAGGGTAAACAAACAAACAATAAATGCAGAGCTTAAAAGCCACTCAGAGTCAGCAGTAATTTGTGGACATCAGCACTTTGCATGTGAACAGCCTCAGTTTTAAGCTAGGAGTGCATTTCAGTCAGGTTAGCTATTGATTAATCCTACAAATAGGTCTGTGCTGAAAACCAGTCTCTGAAATATCCCTGATTGTTGCTTGGCAAAGTACTGGGCTTTCTGGAGAAAGCTCCCAGTGTTTTCTAAGAGCCAGTTCTATCCACTGTGTTTGTTTTGCTCATTATACAAGTGTAACAGCTCCTTCAATACTAATTTGTGTGCATTTGTCTCCTGTACAGATACTCCTGAACTACCTCCCTTTAGAGAAAGCCTTATGGAGTTCTTTGCTGAAGAAACAGAGGTGAGGACATTGATACTTGTCTTTTTATTTCTAATGATTTCTGCTGAGAAGGAGAATAGTCCTTAAATAATTAAGTACCTTCATGAAACAAATTGTTCTTGTGTGGAATGTGCTGTTCTCCAGCAGCCTGAAGGATTGACTCCTTCAGCTGAACTCAGCTGAGGAGAAAATCAACTGTCTCCTGGCTGAGCAGGGTGGGACAGAGAGATCTGTTTGGGCTCTGTGTGCTTACCTTGACTTAATCTTCTCCTTCATTGCAAATTCTTCTTTTCTTAAGGGATCTATATTCCCAGTTCCTGAAAGAAATGATCATCCAGCCTGGGATTGCCAAAGCCAACCTGGGTGTCTCAAGGGAAGATGTGACCTTAGAAGATCATGTGAGTGTTGTTAAGCCTTTGTGTTGCAGAGAACTCTCCACTGTTGTTATGGAGTCTGGACCCCTGGGCTGCTCATGGCTCTGTTCCAACCTGAGAAACAGTTCCCAGGTGCCAGCCTGGCACTTGTGTCTCGGTAGCTTTCATAGTGAATTATTGGCAGAGCACCAATAGCTCTGAAGGGAGCTGTGTTCAGCTGTGGAAGTCCCTTCTCCACTTTGGGGCTACCTGCCCAGGCTGGAAAGGGAGAGGCTCACAGGAGGTACCTGTAGCTATGGGATGCTCTCCTGGGAAGTCAGGGCCTTGAGTGGACTCTGAGCAGGATAATCTGAGCAGAGGATAGAAAAGAGACAGGGGTTTCATGCTGAGGTGTGGTGTGGAAGGCAGGACATCTAGTAATGCTGCTGCTTTTTATTTTTAATGGACTATTTCCTGCATCCCTTGGCTTGTTCCTTCTTTGAAAGTGCTGTTAAGAGTGTATGTGTGGGAGGAGTGAATGAAGTAACTGATCAGAAGAGTCTGTAAGATGATACAGCACCTTCCATGACCAGTCCTGAACGTTCACTTCTCTGCTAGTGCGCAATCACCTGTGCTGCTGTGATCTCTGGAGCCTCAGGGCTGTAAAACTGCCCTGTCTGTAAAACCCCACAGGCAGGTGACTGTGATCTTTGAATCTCTTGGAATTTTCCCCTTTGTTTTTCTCTTGGTTAGTTGTTAACTTTGTGTGGACTTGATGTGGAGAGAGGAGTGAGTGTGTGTGGAGAGGGGACTAGAGTTTATCATGTTGGAAAACTGGTCTGCTACGGCTTGCAGGGATAGGAGTTTCCTCTTCACTGGGCACAGTGGTGGTGCTTAATCAGCCTTCTCAGAGATGAAATAGAGGGGAATACTTGTGACTCATAACCACAACACCAAAGTAATGTGTGGGTGGGGATTTCTCACCCTGAGTCCAAAGACCATCTCCATTGTACAGGTTTGGAGTTGCAGTCAGGAATCTTGACATGGGACAGGATACCTGGTCTGGGAAGAGAGTCATTAAGAGACGAGTGAAAAGGGATTGAAAATGAGAGATAAAAAATGAACCTGATGTGCTAGGACTGTGCTGGTGCTACATGACAGAGGGACAGCAGAAATGTTAAATCAGTGATTGTTCACTGAGGGTTTTGATCCATGTGAGACACACTCATTCTGTTTCTGTCTGTCCTTCAGCCCCTCAATCCTAATCCAGACAGCCGATGGAACACTTACTTCAAGGATAACGAAGTGCTTCTCCAGATAGACAAAGATGTCAGGTGTGTGAGACACAGTGACCCAGGTCTCTAACCCCAGAGGTTTGGTGATTTGTACTTTGAAAACGACGTTTAATATTAAACTGAGCCTCCAACACAGGGCAAGTACTTCCTTCTCGTGCCTGAGTTCCCTCTGTGTCCATCCTAGGAGGCTCTACCCTGACATGGCATTCTTCCAGCGCCCCACGGACTACCCCTGCCTGCTGATCCTGGACCCCCAGAACGAGTTCGAGACGCTGCGCCGGCGCGTGGAGCAAACCACGCTCAAGTCGCAGACGGTGGCGCGGAACCGCAGTGGGGTCACCAACGTGAGCTCTGGGCTGGGGCACAGGGCAAGGCCTTGGGGCTGATAAGGGATAAGCCTTTCTTGGGCTGCTTTCTATTTCTGTTTGTGCAGTGGAGTTAAGGAAATAGCCCAGTGGATCCTGTGCATTCTGGGGCTAAATGGCTCCTATAAAAGCTTCCACAAAGCCAGTTGATGTGCCTGACAGACGGTAGGGAATTATAGGTGTATTTGGTTTTAAGGATTGTTTTTTCCTGACTTGTGGTGGAAGTTGGAGTCACAGGAAGACGCAGGTGTTTTATGCTTGGCATGTGTCTTCCTGTATGGGAAGGAAACACTGAAGAGTTAATTTACTATGAATTTATTACAGTTCTCCAGAACTGGATCTCCTAAACTTGCAGTTAGGAGAAGAGCTGAGTATCTGCTGAAATATGTATTGTCTCTTTCCTCTTTGAAGAGCTTACTGGCTGTTGGGGAAGGTTCCTATCACAACACATCCATACCTTCCCTGATTTGCTGACAGAAAAGTGGAACTGCTGTGATTTCTGACTGTGTGGGATCACATGGTGCAATGATTCAGTCTGTGGCTGCGCAGATTGCTTCATTCTGCAGGGATACCCAGCACCAGGACTTCACTTGCCTGTGTGCTTCCCAAGTCATTTGGTTTGTGTGGTATAAACTCTCCAAACCTTTTGGGGGCCTATGTGTATTAAAAGCCAAGCTTGACAAAATACCTTGACCTTCAAACTCAAAAGCAAAATGTAACTCACCTGGAAGTCTCTGAAGCTTCTTAGGCTGGTGAAGGGACTGGAGCATAAGTGCCATGAGGAGAGGCTGAGGGAGCTGGGGGTGTTCAGCCTGGAGGAGGCTCAGGGGAGACCTTATCACCCTCTACAGGAGGTTGGAGTCAGGTGGGGGTTGGTCTCTTCTCCCAGGCAACCAGCAGCAGGACAAGAGGGCACAGCCTCAAGCTCTGCCAGGGGAGGTTTAGGTTGGATATTAGGAAGAAATTTTTTACAGGGAGAGTGATCAGACATTGGAATGTGCTGCCCAGGGAGGTGGTGGATTCACCATCCCTGGAGGTTTTCAAGCTGAGACTGGATGTGGCACTTAGTGCCACAGCAGGGTTGGACTTGATGATCTTTGAGGTCTCTTCCAACCCAGTTGATTCTGTGATTCCGTGATGATTCTATGTGCCGAATGATCTGTGCCCCTTGGTTATCCTGACTGAGCCCTGGTCTTGCCTTGCTTTCCAGGTGAGCTCCCCTCTTAAAACCACCTCCAGTTCTCTGAGTGAATATGAAGTTCTGCCCAATGGCTGTGAAGCTCACTGGGAAGTGGTGGAGCGAATCCTTTTCATCTATGCCAAGCTAAACCCTGGGATAGCATATGTTCAGGGGATGAATGAAATCGTGGGGCCTCTTTACTACACCTTTGCTACAGACCCTAACAGCGAATGGAAAGGTGAGGGGCTCTGGCTGCTCAGGAATAGCTGTCACACTGCATTTTGTCTGCATGGCATGAGCAGTTTCAGGGATCAGGGAGAACTGGTAGGAGCTGGATGGGCTGGGAGTGGTGAGAATGTGGGAAGTGAGGATTTTTGAGGGGGGTTTCTTTGTTTTGCATGGATCTAAGTTGTACTTTGTAAAACTTAAAATCCCTTTAGAAGCACTTGTTTGTTCATACTATATATGTATGGTAAGAAAAGAATGGAACCGGAGGACTTTGCCTGTTATTTCTGCCTCATTGCTCTGAGGGTGTGTACTGGTGGCAGGGAGAGCAAATGATGTTCTTGGGCACAGATAACTGTGACATAATGTCATGAAGACCTCATGTTGCACACTGGGTCTGTATCTGCAGTGGCCCTGTAGACATTTCTAGTTAAAAAAAACCAACGTTATCTAGCCTTGTCCCAGACCAAGCAAGCCAAGTCTTTGTGGGGTGTGCTACTTGAATCCAGTACAGCAACCAGGTCATGGAGCAAGAATAGTTCTAAAGCTGTGCCTCTGCCAGTGGTGCTTCCTCTGATCACTCACACTTGTTTGGTTTTCCCCCAGAGCATGCTGAAGCAGACACCTTTTTCTGCTTTACCAACCTGATGGCTGAAATTCGGGATAACTTCATTAAGAGCCTGGATGACTCTCAGTGTGGCATTACCTACAAGATGGAGAAGGTGTACTCCACCCTGAAGGAGAAAGATGTGGAGCTGTATTTGAAACTGGTGAGGAGCCTGGTGTTTCTCTGGGTCTTGGGTGGGATGTGAGGTGTGGAGCTTAACAGTGCCTGTGAGTGTCAGCCAGTTCTGTTAAACTGTGCTTGAAAGAACAGTGTGTGAAGGGCTTAGGGACTTCCTTATCTATGAGCTGAAACAAACTCTCCTTGGAGAGAGCCCAGAGCAAGCTGACACAGCAAAGCTTCCTCCCCTGCTTGGCTCTGAAAGCAAACAATGCTTGTTGCACAGCTGCCAGCTGGGAGTCCAAAATGACTTGGCCATGATCCTTGGTCACCTGCACTGAGGTATAGTTGGAACTGGAGTATTTACTGTCTTGTAGTTTATCAGGCAGAACATGGGTTTGCTGTAGAGTTGTTCAGCATCTGAGGTTGCAGAAATGATGTGTCTGTCTCTAAGCACAAAACAGATAATATCTCCTTCTCCACACACACATTTTTATTGTCCTTGGCTGCCCTGACAAGCATTGACTTAAACTGCATGGAGGTCATTCCAAAAGGAAAGGGAAATCCAGCAAGCTGGATGATCCCACCCACTAAATTCTAGCATTCTTCATCCAAGGGTCTCTGAGTGCCTCGAGTTTGTGTGAGTTTTGCAGAACATGCAGTAGGCAGCTTTTGTTATAAACGTCTACAGTCCATCTGGTGTGGAAGTCCAAGGAGAATTTGGAAGGCAAAGCTGCTCCTGTTACTCCAGCCTTCACCAAGTCACACTGAGAACTTCTTGAGTCTGGAAAAATCAGGCTATATGTCTTTTATAATCCAAAGGATGGTTTGTCAGCACAGTGGCACAACCCACAGTGTTGGCTGGTGGCTGATTCAGTGGGGACAGATAAACTGCTTAATCTGGAAAAATCAGGCTATATGTCTTTTATAATCCAAAGGATGGTTTGTCAGCACAGTGGCACAACCCACAGTGTTGGCTGGTGGCTGATTCAGTGGGGACAAGATAAACTGCTCAGTGCTTGGCTGAAGGAAATGGTCTTGGCCCCTCAGCAGCTGGTGCCTGAGAATATCAGCAGGATCCTGAACTTGCTTGACCTTGATTAAACTTGTGGTCCCTTGGATTTAACATCAGAAAACAGGAAAGCTTCAGGCTAGAAGTGCTTACAGTATGTTTTACTGACCACCAGTGTGAACTCCATTCCATCTTTGTTTCTCTTTGTGAATAGTAAACCTTTTGATAAGTACAGGGTTTGTGGAAGGGAGAGGAAATCCTGACAAACAGAGCTCTGCTGGTGGGGGAGGACTGTGGCTGTGCAGATAAAAGCCTGTTCAATTGGGAACTTAAAAATTCCTTGGCAGGCTTAACGGAACTAACACAAACAGTGCTTTTAGGGAGAAAAGCTTCCTTTACTCCATGGGATAAGGAGCATTCTCTAGCTTGGCTGCAGGTGTGGAGCATGGCTGCACTGAAAGTCTGAGTCTAGCCTCAATGTAGAGTGTCCAAAGGAGGCAGAGGGTTTGCTGTGCTGCAGGAGGAGCTGGCAGCTTAGAGCAGTGCCAGGGAGGAGAGAGGGATGGAAACATGGGTACAGCTCTTGCTTGTAGGGAACTGGCTGGGAGCACATATTCATTGTTTGCCTGGTGCCTGTCTGACAGCAAGAACAGAACATCAAACCCCAGTTCTTTGCCTTCCGCTGGCTGACGCTGCTCTTGTCCCAAGAGTTCCTGCTGCCTGATGTCATCCGTATCTGGGACTCTCTCTTCGCCGACGACAAGCGCTTCGACTTCCTCCTGCTCGTCTGCTGTGCCATGCTGACGTAAGTACAGTCTTCCTGCTGTTCTCTTTCCTTCCTTTACCTAAATCCATGGATCCAGGAGTCTCCTGTAGGCATCTGGTGTATAGGTTATAGTCACTGTTCACACAGGGAGTAAAAGTTTTTGAAAGCCTGGGTAAGTGCACAGTGCAGTCTGGGTTTGAAGTTCCTTTGGAAAGAGTCAAAAGTAGCTGGAATAATCTCCATCTTTCAGACTCATCCGGGATCAGTTGCTGGAAGGAGATTTCACTCTGAACATGAGGCTGCTACAGGTAAGGATTAAATATAGTGGGGCACAGGGAGCATAGTATGTTAAGGGGTTGGAATGGAGCTTAGATATCATCCATTCCCAACCCCCTGCCCTGGGCAGGGACACCTCCCACCAGAGCAGGTTGCTCAAGGGTTGATCCAACCTGGCTTTGAGCCCAGGATTTGATGCCTAGGGTTAGAGCAATTTATGCTCAGTCAATTTATGCTCAATCAATTTATACACAATCAATTTATATTCAAATATAGCAATTTTAAAAGTCTTAAAATAGTACTGTGAGAGAAGATGACAGTATATGAGAAGGGCATACCTGGCTGAAGGGAAGCACCACATTTCTGATGTTTGCAGGCAGGAAAATCTGAAGGAATCTTACAGCACACTCATAACTGCAAGTGGGAATCTTTTGCTTGTACACCCATTCTAGCCTACAGAGAAATGATCCTAGACTGGAGGTTTCTAATGTTCCTTTGGTTTGCAGAACAATTGAATCTTTTCAAGCAAAGATGTGAAACCCTTTGTAAAACTGTTAAATTGTTCGGCCAGAGGGTTTTGTTTCATTCTGAGATCTGTGAGAGCCTGAGGTTGGAAACTGCACTGCACAGTTGGATATCTCTGCTTCTGCCAGTTCCTGCTCTGGGCTGTGCAAGATACTGGCTTTGATAAGGCTCTCTGGCATGAAGAGAGCCCTGTGGCAGGTCAGCTTGCTGTGCCTTTGGAGGACAAAGTGAAAAACAACAAACATTCTTGAAGGGTACTGAGGTTTGATCAGTTACAAAACAGGAAACTGTAGCTGTTAAGGGAATAACTGAACGTGGCAGAATGTTATAATAGGCCAAGAATGTGGTTGTCAAGGTTTGCCTTGCTCAAGGCAAACAATCTGTACCAGGAATGCTGGGCAGTCACTGAAATCGCTTTGTATCTCTGCCATAGGATTATCCTATCTCTGATGTTCACCTGATTTTGAAGAAGGCAAAGGAACTTCAAGATTCCAAATAGTCCATGAGCCTATGAAAAGGTGTCAGAGAAACTGTGTGGCAGTGGATCCTGGGAGATGCCCCCATGCAGTGTGGTGCACTAAGGCTCCTAGTGGTCCCTGCAGGACTTCAGGTGTGGTTTGGGCTACTGGTCACCTTGAAGACTTCCTTCTACTCTATTTATTAGGTCAAGGACTGATTACTTCCCCATCTACTTGGGTCCTGCACTCCAGATTTTTTTTCAAATCTCAAATGCCTCTTTGCTGCCAAAAGCAGTACTTTGTATCTTTTTTTCAATGACACTAAGTTTGGGGAGAAAGAAACCCTCTGTGTGCATATCCCTGAAGGCATGGACTCCTGTATCATGGAAGTAACACGTGGAGTAACTTCTGATGGGGAAAAGACAGACTGACTCCAGTGAATTTTGGTGGGTGAGTATAGAAGGATCTTCCTCCTGTGAATAGAATGTATTCCATGAAGTCTCACATTCTGCCATTCAAGTAGCTTCTGGATTCTTCTCCCTCATGTCTGCACTGCACTTGGCCATCCCTGGGGCATGCAAAGAAGAAGATTGCACCAGTTTCTGGTGATTGTCACCTGGCACTTTGGATCCTTTTGCCTGGGAAAGAGACTTGAGAAGCTGAGGTTGGAGGGCACAATGAGAGCTGGTGGCTTTGTGCACTGAAACTGCCTGAATCCAGAACAGCCTTACCAACGAGGTCTTCTTAAAAGCAAGACTGTGGTGGTTTTAATCCCTGAGTGAAGTGTAGTTTCAAGTCAAGCCTTACTACGCACAGCCTTAGAGCAGGATTGTTGCTGCAGGGAGGCCTCACAGCTTCTCTGGCCCTGAACTGGAGCATATCCAGCCACAATCAGGATTCTGAAACACAAGAAATGGACACTAGTCACGTGCAATGAAGACAGATGTATTTTGAGGCTCAGACAGGCACAGCACTGGGGTTTTCTGCCTCAGTGGCTTACATAATACTACTCTGCATTAAGCTCTGGTCACAGTAACCTTGATATTGTTTCATAGTACTTCTTGCCAGGAAGAGACATGGTACAGTTCTGACCTGCAATGAGTCCTTTTCTGGCACAATCCAAGGGGCATACAGGCCCTGGCCATTAGCTGACTGCTGGGGCTGATCCACTGCTGTGTCCTGGTCCTGTTGGAGTCACAGTCCTGAGCTGGACACCTGTTCCTCCTGAGAGGGAATTGGCTGCACTTTGATATGGCTGAGCAGGCTCAGGTGGACATTGACTGGGACAAACTGCGGAGAGAACTGCTGACCTGCTGCAGTGTTGAGCTGAGCAGAACCACAATCCTCAGAGGGAGAGACTGCCAGACCCAGGTGCTTGGGTGGTGCAGAAGCTCTCGAGTGAACACTAATCCAGTGTGCTTTTCCCTTTCTTTCTGTGCTGTGCTGGCTCACCTCTGCGTGGCTGTTTGACACTCAGTTTTGGGTACTTATGGGTATTGATTTGTTAAAGGTCAGTCATCTCTGTAAGAGCTGCTTAAGCTGCTGCTGGCCTAGAATCACCCTAGCAGGAGGGATGTTGGCAGCTTTCAGCTCTTTTTACTGGTGTTATTTCCTTCACTGAAGGCCAATTCTTCACAGGCTACTGTAATTCTCACCAAACTGTGTGGGGAGACTGCAGGACAGGTTGGTGCATGTACCTGTGTTCTTATTGGCAATCCCAGGCAATCTCTGCCTCTTCAGAAGATGCTCAAGTACCACTGGTGCAGCCAGGTGTTGCTGCTGTGTTGCAAGAGCAACTGAAGGTTTGAAGCAATCTGTAATTAATACCTGTGGCAACACTATCCCTCTCTGCTGCAATCTTCCCTAGAGGGTACAGTTTTCTTCCAGGAAAAATGGAACAGGTAGACCAGGACAGCTGTGTGATGAAGCAACCTGTCTGCTCTAACCACTGGATGGATGTTCTTCCTGCCTTGTGTTGCTGATCTATTCCAGGTGATCTCATGGTCTCAGCTCTTGGGTACCTGCACTGGGGAGGCTGTTGGCCACACCTCATGAGGCCAAGCAGTGAGCTGGAAGGCACAAATATAGGACCAGAGCATCACTCTTGGACAGAATTGGACCTGCTGCAAACACTTCTGCCTCAGAACTGCTCTAAATACTGCTGTAGCTCTCACATTCCATGTACAATCTCTGCCCTCACCTCCCTGAATACCTGGGCTGGGCTGTCCATTTCAGGTCCCCCTGGCAAGTGTAGGGTTCTCTAATGCTGGATTTTCTCCCTTGTAACAGGAGCATCCATGAGGCTTCCTGCTCTGAACAGCTGGAAGTCTCCTTGAAGTGACCTGAGAAGGCAGCAGGCAAGTCAGGGTGAAAGCATTTCTTGGAGATGAAGTTCTGCATGTTTTCAGAGTAGCTTTGTGCCCTGAGGGTGACCTGCCCAGGCAGGTGCTGCTCTGTGGCATTGCACACACTTGGGGAAAGCACAGGAGGTGACAGTGCAGGTGACTGACTGGGGGCAGTGTCATGTTGTCTTCTCCCTTCCTACATGCCCAAGGGCTTCTCCCCAGGGGTGGCAGTAAATGCCTTTGAAATGAGCCTGCAGTGGTGTAAAGGGATGTGATGAGCTTTGGCTGCTGGAAAGGTTCTCTGGGATAAATTCTGTAGGCTTATCCAGACTGTGGCTGCTAAACTGATTGAGTTCTTTAGGGAGAGCTTGTAACAACTTTGATACACCCGGACAGGCTTGTTCTTACATGAAAAGCTGTTTTATATTCCTCCTTATTTGCCTCCTGTGTGGCAGGACTTCTGCTGTTGAAAGGAGCTACACTTTTCAGTGACTTGGAACATCCATTTTTTTATTTCAAGACTTTCTCCTTTCTTTAAGAGCAAAACCAGATTTTCTGATGGGAGAAAAAAGTCTTGTTACCAGCTTGTGAATATCCTCATGATTCCCTTGGCTTCATTCCTCAAAGGCTTCTGGTGATTTATTTTTGTTGCTGAGGTGAGATGACACTTAACTAGTGGTTCCTTGCTTGTGTGGCCAAGTAACAACTGCTCCAGCCTTGAGATGTTTCCACCTCTGGTTTCTGTCAGTCCTGACCCGCTGCAGGAGCAGTGAGGCTGGCTGAGGCAGCAGGTCTTTGGGGTAGGAGGTGTTAGTCTGGAGTGCTTTGGGGACCCTTTGTCTCATAGGGACCTAAAGAGAGGATGTTTAAATAGCTCTTAGGATGTGCTTCTCATGGGCAGGAATACTGCTGGGCAGGGGACGCGGAACCCACTTTCAGCTGGGAGGGAAAACAGGACACTGTGCTGGATGTGGAGAGAGATGGGAGGAAGATCTGCTCTACCTGCACCTCGTTTAATTCAGAAAACTATGTGGCATTGCCAATGAGGTCGAAGCAAGAGGAGGGATCAGGTTGTTGGTCACTCAGATTTAGAGTTGGAATTTTGTGATCTAGCCTAGAATTATGCTTTGGCAGTGAGGGGAATGAAGGCCAGAAGTTGCATTGGGGGATTTGGGGATGTTTGGGAGAGCAGAGACTATTTTCCCTTAAGGAATGCCAGTGACTTTGTTTTAGCTTCTTGGAGCACTTCTAAAAATGCCCTTTCCCCAAAGAAAGGAACAGATAACACTTTGTTTTTTCCACCTCGTTTGGATGGAATTGCCAGACCAGGATCTAGTGAACACTTCCTCACTCTAAAACTCCTTTTATCCTTCTTTTTAAACACTATTTTTATAACGCTTCCTTTAACTAAGCAGGTGGCTTTGTGCAAACCTCTCCTGCCATCCCAGTGTTGAGCTCAGAGTTAGGCCGTGCCAGCTGCCACCAGTGTGACAGCGGTGACCGCGGCTGGGGACACAGCGAGCTGACACCGGCAGAGCCCTGGACAACCAGCCAGCCCAGGATGATAATACTTTTACTTTCCCTCCCTGTCCCCGGCAGCTTTGCCTT